GTCGCAGTTAGCAGGCCGGGCTTCCGCCGGGGTGCCACCGGGATGAAAGCATTACCTGTAGGGTTTGAGCTGATAGGTGCATGGGTTTATTATTTTTTTAAATGTATCTAAACGTGTCTCTGCGAGCAATAGGGAGCAGTTTGAAACCACCAGCCGCTCTGCAGGGGACAGATGAGGCTCTCTACTCCTATGACGAGTGACAGTCTCAGAAACCCACGGGCCGTCTGACGCTGTCCTGCAGGGTCACCATGAGGCCGAACAGACTCGAGGGCAGTGAGCTTTTGTTGTTGTCCTGCAATCAGTGGGTGGCTGCCGAGAGAGTTTCTCAGGAATACACTTGTCTTATTAGCCTTTCAGAGGAAAGCCCTATAAAAGCCCTGTTTCTCAGGAAATTCGTTGGGGTAGTTATAGTCACGGCTCTCAGGGTTACCATGACTATTTTTTAGAATTCTGACGAGATCGTCTCAATCAGCGGTTCTCAACCTGTGGGCCGCGACCCCTTTGGGGATCAAAAAATGACCCTTTGACAGGAGTTGCCGGATTCATAACAGGAGCAAAATGACAGTGATGAAGTAGCAACAAAAATATATTTTGTGGTTGGGGATCACCACCACATGAGGAACTGTAAGAAAGGGTCGTGGCACGAAGAAGGTTGAGAACCACTGATCTAGAGACCTCTTCAAAAGACGTGGGAAGGTCAATCACAGGGGCAGCTGGGAGAAAATGGGAAACCGGCCGAGAAAGCACCGACTCAACTCTTCTGGAGCAGCGAGGGCTCCTGTGATGACGTCCCTGGGGAACCGGACGCCATCTCCAGGCCTGGTCTTGCCCGGTCAGGCTTCTAGCTGAGACCACCACTCAAAGAACCTTTCAAAGGAACAGGGCTCTAGTGCCCGGAGGATGCCAAACTGCCATTCGGGGTGATGTCAATCCGTGAGCATCCTCTGGGGAGGGGAAAGACATGCAAACACCACCCTCAGAAGTGTATGGATCTCAATGGAAGACAGAGCTTCACTTTTCTATATCTCTGTTTAACAAAGCTTTCTATTATTTTGTAGCAATATTGTTTGCCTTGCCCTCATCTGGACAGGCAGTTCCTGAGTCATAAATGCCCAGCTCACCCACAACCCGTAGGTGTGAACCAACCCCCCTGCCTGACAAATTCAAGGGGTATTTAATGGTGCATACTACTTTTATTTATTTATTGTTGAGATAGGCACCCAAACATTATTATTACTGTATGTATCTGAGTGTATCTGGAAGTGTTTCATAGACATAAAAAAGGTACACTACAGATCCCTAGCCATTTGAAAAAGGCAAATTAAAATAGCAATGAGATACCACCTGGCAGTCACACTGATAGCAAAGTTCGGAAAAACAGAATATAGCAAACACTGGAGAGGGTGTGGTGAGACTGGAATCCTCACTCACCGCAGAAAGGACTGAAACTGTACAACCACCATGGAAAGTGGTACTCCACTAAGTCAGAGTAGAGACAAGCACGTGACCCAGGCATCTCTCTCCCCAATCTGTACTCGAAAGAAGTAAAGCAGACAGCTGCACGCCCAAGTTTGCCATTGTACTGTGCACAACGCAATGCCCATCAGTGGGAGAATGGACAGATAAGCTTTGGTAGCTACATAAAATAGAATCCTATGCATCTCTACAGAATAATGATGAAACTGTCAAGCACCTTGCAACATAGTTAAATTTGGAAGCTACTGTGCTGAGTGAAGTCAGTCGGTCCCACAAAGACCAATATTCTAGGAAACCACTATGATAAAAGATGAAAGCAAAAAATGATTATTTTCGCTCCCAAAGAAGCCATTTTTTAATGGTTACGGAGAGTTGGGACTAAGGAGAGGGGAAGGAGAGGGGTGGTGGGGAATAAATAAGGTGTATTAAAGAAAGAGACAATATCTGCTGTACACGAAGACAGACATTTGACTGTCATTAGATAGGTATCTTCCCTGCCTGTTCGAATTTAAATAAAAATACGAGTTAAAGACAGATTAAGGAATGAAACTTGTCTGTAATCTGGGGACTGTCTGTACGTACTTGTATATAATCTTATTTTTAAAACATGAAGCAGAGTTCACACTTTTTATATTTAATATACTTTGAAGATATCAGCACCATCTGCTTCATTCCTCCTTCAAGACTGTGTGGGATCCCATTACATATTTCCATGAAAATATTATTGATAACCTTTGGCAATTTCATTGCCTCGATAGGAAAACAAAATGTTGGCAGGGCGGTTTAGACAGGATCCCAAGCAGGGAGGTGAAGAGGCGGCAGCGGGCTCCTTTATGTATATGGAGGAGCATGGGGAGGGTGGTGCTGAGCTGTAACATGCCCTTGTGCTCCTGCTTACCATCATTGCCAGAGAGCCAAGATCTGGTCTCAGGACTTGTCACCGCAGTGCGACTTGAGGCAAGTCCCCTCCCCTTCTCGGGCTTCGTTGCCTGTTCAGTTAGAAGATGACAACATCTCTCGTGTGCTTCCTAGTCCAGAAGTCTATGTCCCTGACCATTTCTGGATGGTGCCCAGGCTGCAGTCCCTTGTACTCACACCACTGCTGCCCCATCTCCACTCCCCTACTTCCGGTGGTTTTCTTCTTCTCCAAATCTGGACAGTGGGGGCCCAGGGCCACCTGCCCCTTTCCCAGTGTGAACACCTGAGAAGCCATGCGTGAAAGGAGGGGGTGGAGCAGGGTGAAGAGAGGAGCTTCAGAGGCTGAGATGTTCGGAGCTCAGACCAGCTTTGAGTCCAAACAGCCTGAGGCT